CTGTATTCCGGGATTAACTGTTAAATTTGCACGCCATACTCATGCACGCTCTTTGGCCTGAGCGAAACCAACCCACGGATGCACATCAGACTCCATTGACAGATCAGTCCTTTCGGCTCGCCAGCTCCAAATTATAATTATCAGGGACAGGCAGCCAGCGGTGAAATTCTTCAATGTACGTGGCATACATTACCCATTTAGAAGGAAGCCAAATAATCACTTCACTGTTAGTCTGACACGCAGTTACCCCCCAAAAGAGTGTTCCGCATATAAAGTTCAGGCCGGATCTATATGCTTTTCACCACGAATGGCCAAGGCAGAGGTACAAGATCTTTTAGTGATTCAAGCGCCGTAGGCGAATCAATGCATAATTTCATTTCACTTTGTGAATGCACTTTACTGTGACATTATTGTTGCAGCCACTTTTTATATTGGCAAATGCAAGATTGCCATCAGCTCAAAGAAAAGACAAAAATCCCTTTTGTGGTCGCCAGTAGTTTAAACAGCTAGGGCACAGCAAAGAGTTGTAGTTATGGCTTTAATTAAGTGTCCCTTTCCCATTCAAGAGTTTCGTTACGTTGTATCGCAGAGTGGCCTTTGGGTGTGTGCTGGTCAGTGGTTGCCCCCACTGCTTCATGGATACAATCGCTGAAAAAACATCGTTATTGCGGGTACATGTACCTAAAAGGCACACCCACTGTTTTTACAGATCATCCGATCTCAGCCTTCATTGGAGCATATAGTGTTGTCTATTTTTGAATAATTTTGATATCTGATAATGTGAAACTGTGTTTGACCATGGTACATGTACATGTATTTGAAATTCATTAATCTGTTTACTTTGTACATACTACGTACTGATCTACATGTACTTAGTGTGTGATGTGGGTGTTGTGTTTGAGAAATGATGGCACTCTCCCATCCAGTGACATTCCTCCAAGGTTGACTTGTTTGGACTTCCTGTTACAAGTCTGTGTTCATCTATCCCTTTTTAAGTCCATTTTGCGGTTTGGTTATAAGCGGTCATAAGATGTGAGGGTGGATAACTTATTTGTTTTTGTTATGTTTATAATACATGTTTGTTTTAGGGGTATGAGCAGAGGGTTATTTTACAGACCCTCTTGTATTTTATGTGCCGGTGGTAGTTTTACCTCCCAAAGTTTTCCACTCCCGACTTCATTATTTTTATAATCAATTTTGCTGGATAACCAAAGTTGGCCCAACTGTGTCAACAAAGTTGGGACTGCCCCAAGTCAACACTGAACAAAGGAAGGACAGTGGAAAGAGGTTGGATGTTTATGTTGTAACATTATCAGTATTGTGTACATATACATGGGACACTTTTCAAAGGGGAGGCCAGTTGGGAGATCATCAACCATTAATGGAAAGATCCATTAAGCCCTGGACCTACCAAAAGTGCACATGTACCAGTACATGTACATTTAAAGAAGACGAAGAAAAATGTTGCTTTAAAAGCAGAAAAGCCAGAAAAAAGATGAAGAAGTGAAGAAACAGGCATGATGGGGTGAAGGAGATAAGAAGGAAGTACATGTAGATGTACATACATGTAAATATGTTGTGCATGCATGTTTATGTAAAAAATAAACTTCTTTGTGGGGAAGTAGAAAGAATTTGAAAGATGTATAAACAATGTACACATAAGTACATGTACACATGCAAGGGTTTGGGGCATGTAAATGGGCTGGGGAGGAACTTATTTACAACAAAAACATGATTGAATTCGTTGTTTCCTCATATTGTGATGATTTGATTGGTTTCCATATTTTGGTTTTGGCAGGATTCGGACAGACCACAACATTGATAACACTGCTACTTTGCTACAAGAATGGGTGAACAAAAGTGGATCTTTATACCACCGTGTAGATATTGATGTACAAAATGAACCTCAAGCTTTTGATTGGGAAAATGGTCCAAGTGATTGGCCTGATGAAAGATACTTGCATGTGATTACTCTGAGACAGAGGGCTTTAGAGGAAGCAAGATTTCAGTGGGCTGATTACCTACTAGTGAGTATACAAGTATATTTTGAATGTTTTTACTTCAACATTACTGTTACCTTAAACTGAGGCTTCAAAAGTGCCAACAATAATGCTAAAGAATCAACAAAAGCCCTTCAAAATCATCTTCCAGCTTGTCCACATGTCAAACAAGAACTTACATGCATGTGATCTCAGTAGTATTCATGATCATTTCCTGGAGATCATATTTGACAGTACTTTATGTGGCAAGCTGCACCAATCAGATTTTTTTTTCAATTGGGCAAAATCACTGGCCAAGTTTTAGGGCTATTCCAAAAATGTGGCGAGATCTTTTCATAATACATGTACATATATGCCCCATGGAAACAGCTGCTGTTGTCGTATGTCATGTTCAGCTGTGGCCACTTTATTCCAACATCACTAAGTGGGAATGATTTTTTTTGCCCGGTAACACATACTTATAAAATGTAGCAGGTACCAGCCAAAAAAATTCCAATTGTTGACAAGTGGTTGCTAACCAAACTTTGCGCAGGCAACAGATATGAAAAAGTGTAGTATCCCTGGTGGTACGTTTGCCATGTTTGTGTACATGTAACGCACAAAACTGTTTCCACTCCTGTTATCACACGACTGAGGCTACTCCAGTCCATACTTTTTCTTATGTTAAGGAGTTCACTGGTCTTGATGTTTGATTTTTTTATTTGTTTTAATGAGTCATTCGTTAAAAATGTGTCTCATGTGCCATTCAAACTTAAGTCTTTTCATCACAACCTCCTTGTCTTGTTTAAAAAAAATACTTGACTACAACTCTGGTCAATGAACATTGTATATTTCACGACATGATCTAATTCCAAAATGTTTTTGAAACAACAGGCATGTTTATGCAAATTATACTTGCAGCAATCGGATTAAAATGAGGAAGCAAGTTTACATACCCTGTATTATATGATTCTCGTGTGGATTGGAATTGTTTTTCATTTCCGGTTATTAACTTTTAATTTCAAATTCAATTATTTAAATGCAGGCAGTTGACGTTGATAACTTTCTGGAAAATCCAAGGGTATTACTTGATCTGATGACACAAGAGAAAACAGTCATTGCTCCAATGCTGGTATCGACAAAAATGTATTCGAACTTCTGGGGAGGAACGAACCAAAAGGTATTCATCTATATAATGTTGCTGTGGTCATTTAGATCGAGAATGATTATGGAGCTTACACAACATGCTTGTGGCTAACATTTTCAGCTCTGGTGCGTGCTGTATTTTCAAAGCCGTTTTTCTTGAAAAGTAGTTTTGACCACAAAGATTTTTCCTATCATCTTTCTCGCGTCCTATTTTTGGAGCGGAGTGGTGTACAAGAACAGATGCGGTATCACTGGAAAGCCCATTCCTTTCTCTATATTCTCATATGCACATCTCAAAAAGTCAAAGAAGGGGATCTTTCCTCAATGTGCCATGGCAGGTCAAATAAATGACAAAAACCATATAAGCATGACAATTATCTATTGGTCGTGTGATGTGTCCTCCTAGCTGCTACCGTGGCCCTCCCCCCAATGCTCAAAGCTGGTGACAAGGCTCCAAACAATACATATGCTTCCTATATTCCATCACAACTTCACATGGTAATGGCATGCAAAAATGCCAGTATTGTTCCCAGTCTCCTTGGGTATAGCATGCCCACACGTCAACATACGAGTCCTAATACAACTGATAGTGTGCATGCACACCTGATACCATTGCTAGCTATGTTTCTCATGCATTCGTCGCTTGAAATGAGTTTAATTTTGAAATATTTAGATTTCAGCAAAAAATCCTGAAGAAAATAGGGATGAAGAGGATAGTCTATGAGTATAAATGAGAAGACGATGTACATGTATGCAGCGTCTCCAAATATTGGTGGAGAATCAAAATAGAAAATTACTTGTGGATTTTTTCATTACAAATGTGCATAGGCAATCTCGTACACTTTACCATGGTGGATGCATATTCAATACAGTGTTAGTGTTAGTGCACAAAAAATGAAGCCATGCCACCATGTCATGCTCCTCTTACATGTACATGTTATCTGAGTACTTTATGAAGTTCTCTGCCAAGTATTGAACTTCTTTGGAGGGAACAAAGCTGAAAAACATGGGCGCTGGATGGTACTTGTGAATGCACAAAGGCAAAATAACAGAATAAAATGGTGACTTCATACATCACTGTTTTATGACAAGTATATGTAGGTCAAAATGATTTGCACTGCACCCACTGTCCAACTGATCTTTGTGACATTCTGCCAGTCTCATAGGGCAAATCAATTTTATGTAGCAGTTATAAAAAGTCAAAGTAGGAATGAATGGTAGACAAACACAATGGAATGTCATGGTAAGTTTTCATGCAGCTAGTTAGAACACAGCTTAAAAGTTCCATGTTTACTATACATTTGGTTTGATTTGTAAGTTGTCGATGTGACCTTTTTAACTTTGTTCAACTAAACTTAGTTCTCTGTCATCATGGTCATTGTCTACATTTGTACTTAGAAAAAGTAACTGCTCAACATTTCTCCCTTTTTTTCCTTTTCAGGGGTACTACAGAAGGACGGAACAGTACGTTCACATATTGAAGAGAAATTTCACTGGTGTATTTGAAGTGCCCATGGTACATTCTACGTATCTCATTAATCTGCGTCATAAAATCTCGGTCCAGTTGTCTTATAATCCTCTTCCTGGCTTTACTGGTGATATTGATGACATGATGACTTTTGCCTTCTCTGCTAAAAAAGCAGGTATGTGGTATGAAACTAAATGCCAACGAAGTTCCGAACACATGTTGGTGTGTTTGCTTTTCAGAAACAGTCAAAGGGTTTACCACTGTAGACGTCAATTTTATTTCAGAATGATGATTGTCTGTGATCTGTCAGTATATATATGTAACATTCTGCCAATTCGATTGACATTTGTAACAGTAATTCCTTGATATGTGGGTATACATGTAAGACTTCAAAATGTAAGAGTTACTGTCACTTTAATTCACTGCTGACTGTCTTACATGAATGAGGGATGTCAGCTGCCACAAAGTTAGAGTGTAACATACATGTACATGTCCATGTATACATGTACATGCAACTGGAATGCTGCTACATGTGTAACAAACAGACGTACATGTACATGTACGGTACATGTACTGGACATGTGGCCATTGGCCTGTTTGTTTCATGCAGATCCGGATCGCAATCAGTGATCTGTCATTGGTTCACTGACACCAAAACCCACCTAATGGACAGCACGAACCAGCTCACGGATCATGATCCAGATCCACGTGAAACACACAGGCCCCACGTTGGACACTCCCTTGTGCTCCTAAATTTTATGTCAACTTTCGCGAAAATTCTTCTACTCCACAAAGTAATCAAAATTGCTCTAAAAAGTAGTAAGAATAAAAGCAGATAATAGCAACACAAACCAATCCATATTGTAATATCAATATGCAGCGGAGACTGGCAATGGCCACCAGGCAACCGTCATGTGGAAAATCACCAAGACAAAAAGTTTGATCTCGGAATAAATAGAGTGAACAAAAAAACACACATGTACATATGGTATAGAGATTTTTTATGAGATGTAACATGATGGGCAAAGCATTTCAGGAAGTGTACCAGGTCTGTGGAGGCACTTGTATTTTCTAATCAGTGTATTTCCATTGGCAATTTCATGTTTGCCAGCATGTTGAGAGACGTTGAAGGTGAGCACATTTCCATGCACATCTGAGTAAATTGAACGATGACTGTCAAAAAGCATGTGACTGAAAATCCTCTATACAAAAAAGAGAAGTCAGCATTTGTGGCTTATAATGAAATTTTCATCATGAACATTCACATATTTCAGTGGTTTTGATCACTTTCCATGATCTTCATTTGACATTTTTACATTGCTGAAACACATGTATCAGACTGAACTTGGCACATGTATGCAGATGCTATTGTGGGTGCTATAGGCTGGCTTATTGCCTTTCCATTATCATTCTCGCAAATCAGCAGTGGAAAAGAGTGGAGCAGTGCTCTGAATATCATTTGATTTCACCATTAGGATGACTCAATGAAAAAGGCTCCACACTTCAATACAAATGAACTATAGAGGAAAAGAACTTCAAATTGACCAGTTTCTTGGATGTCTGTGTCCTCTATTTTAAAAAATTTGAATTTCTGTTGTGCTTGAGAAGGCAGTATTGGTTAAAAAAGCACAAGGAAGACACATGAGCATCCTGTGGGCAGGGGATTGTGAATGTTGGCCAAAATAAATATACCTGTAAGCTGCACAATAATTTTTCTCGCTAGTTTTTTTTAAAGATGTAATCATTAGGTTTACAGGGTTCTGAGATGCACAGTGTTCAGAGAAATAATTCTTCATCTTAAAGGACTCAGTATTGATTGTTTTAAATTTATAAGTGTGTTATGGGGGGCATGTGGCCTAGTGGTTGGGTTTGTAGCTTCTTATCATAGGGTCAGAGGTTCACATCCAGCTGTTAGCAGCATGTTGTGATCCTGGGCAAGTCACTTTACCCCCATGTGCCTCTCGATCTCTCCACCCTGGAGTAAATGGGTACCTGTGAGGGTAGATTGGATTATGTTAGCCGTGTGCACCTGATAAGGCTGCATCAGCTAGTATACTCCCCAGGGAGGTGAAATGGTTTCAGGAATGTTCAGTTGTGAGCCCAATGTGCAGGGATAATAAGAATGCTTCTTCCAGCAGGGTGGGTATGTGCGCAGTATAAGAAGTCGGTATATGTATTATTATTATTTATTATAGTAACTCCTTACAGGAACTCATCACATGTAAGTTCTGCCATTTGCAATAGACCAACATTCTCCTACAGTAGTTAACCCACATGCCAGATATTTAAAAGCATGATAATCTGCCAAATCAATAGAAACGGTAGAGTTGATCAGGAATTAGGCCAGTTTTAACATTCCATTAACAGTTATGCACCATTATGCTTGCCAATACGTCCCTTTGATTTGTTACTGTGCAAAAATGGCAGCTGTTGTGGCCAAACTTTGTGCTACATGTACCGGTCCATGCAAAACAGAGCAAAGACATAAATGCAGACTGCGCTTTTATTTTAGGAAACTTTGTGTGTTACAGATTATTATAAAAAAAACGTTTTCAAATTATAAATGCCTGTATGTCCCACATTGGATCCCTTCAAACAATTTGCAGGCCCGTTTCATATCCATTGTAATCATGTGCATGTTTGTATGTACCAGTACATGACATATGTGCGTACTTTTAAACTTTTTTCCCCCTTTTTTTTTTCAGGTATTCCTTTCCATGTGACAAACCGCAATTATTATGGAAGCCTCCTAATTCCATTAAGTGCTAAGAAGCCATTAGAGTATGAGAAAGAGCAAATGCTGCATCTGCGACTTGAAGCTATGGGTATGCATGTGTTTTTCTTGTCAGTTTTATTTTAAAGTGAGTTCATTGTTTGAACTACAGATATACATATAGCAGATTGCAAACCTTCATGCATCTGCATGAGTTTTGAAACAGTTTTGAAATGGGTGTAAACTGATACATGTAATTAACATGTATTACATCAAATGAGGTGATAACAATATCAAAATTTACCATTGTAATGAATTGCCAGAAAAAATATGACAATATTTGGATGCGATTGCAGTAACATTCTTAACAATTATGAACATTTGCACCCAAATTGCTGGGAGTTGTTTCTCGTGTAATCCTTGCATAGCTATATGGATTGTTTGTCTGGTATCTTCATTTGTCAGAAATTTGAAATGCAAGGTACATTTTCAAATTCTGGTGTGAAATAACTGCATTGCCTAACCCTTGAAAGTTCAACGACATAACCCTAAAGGAGCTGCAGGTGCAAAATCTGCCTCCCTCAACATTTTTTCCAATATCACCACAATATATATTTTTTGATGAGCAAAGCCTTTAGGAGTTGTTTTCAAAAACATTTTGCAGTCATTTCAATTTTGTAAAAATCAATGAACCAATCTTGTGCAAGGTCTATTGTTCCAAGACAGGTCATCCAAAATATACATTTTTCCATTGCCATAGTCAATGTATGTGGGCTGGCACGCATGTGGCCTTGAACTTCAATGACACCAAAATGCATATGTCAGATGGAGTTAAAACTTGATATTTGTACTAATAAAAATTTTAAAATGTCAAGTATGGGACAGCTTAGTTCCTGCCCCCCCCCCAAAAATGGTTCAAAAGATCCTGGCTCTTTTAAGGACTTAAGGAAAGATTGTTTCAAAATCAAAAGTATTAAAATTTCCAATGAAGATTTCTAATAGTTCATCCAAAATATGATCTCTCTTTCTGTGTGAAAATGACATTTGAAAAAATTATATTGCCACCGCCAAGCGCAATGTAGTGACAATGCCGTCTAAAAACAAAACATTTTAAAGTTATCAAATAGTTTTTGAAAAGGTAACAGAGGTAAAGCAACAATTTTGAGTGAAATGTAAAGCAGTTGTCATCTCAGACTTTTATGTAGTCTTTGAATAAGTTGGAAAGGGATGTACGTAACTGCCATCATTGTACGTTTAAAGAGACCACTACGCAAAACCTTTATCTTGATGTATCTGCATGTGTGAAATACTTTGGTAACTCCTTGAGTAAGATATCTTGCACAGGGCACAGAGGGGCTACATACGCAGCAGCATTCATTAAAACCCTTTTGTGAGTGCAAGGTTTCCATTATTGATTCCAGACTAGAAGAGAGTTAAATGGGTGTGTTCCTGATCTACTGGTAGTGTATTCCATTGGGCAACAGTTTTTGGCAAGAAAGTAAAGTTTTCAGCAGTCCTTATTTGTTGAGGGTGAACAAATGATAAGCCCAAATTTTGTCTGGTCAATCCACTGCACTTTGATATCAATAGAGAACTTGTTGACATTGATGGAGGGAAGTTAATGATGTGCTCTGTACAGGAGGGTCAGTCAGGAACTAAGCTGTCTGTACTTGAGCTGTTTTCATTTGAGGTCCCAAACAGTATAATCATAAATTGTTTAGTAGAGGTTGGAAGATCTGACCAGAATGTAAAGCAGGTGATGCCAAATGCCTAATGCAGGCTTGGCGCTGGGGGGGGGTTCATGTACATGTGAGGATTCCACACTAGAACAGTTTATTGAAAGATTGGGTAACTGCGTATTATAGACAAGGTCCAGAATACAAGCAGTAGAGGAGTTGAATAGTGTCTCTATAAAACATGGAAGCATCTCTCATGTCACAGTCTCTGGCATACATGTACATGTAAGCTTCAAAGCAATATCTGAGGGAAACACTATGGAATCCATCGCATATCAGGCTGATTACCTCACAGTGACATCTTGTTACAACATTCTACTCTACTGTACCTTTATATCTCTTCTCAGTACTATTTATGCTGTAATTCAGAAATAGCTACATGTATGAAGTAGCCTTCCTACTTATCCCAGATTTACAATATTCTAGACATTCCTGAATATTGCAGTCAAACATCCATTTACTTGTAAGGCAAATCTCTCAACCTTTCTCTATGGAGAAGTCTCCATTCATAAATACTTTGGCCTGCAAAGGTTTGAGATTCATACCCACACCAAAGTCCTGTTTTGCATAAGTCTGTACATCTACAGTACTCGTGTTTCTTCATTTTGCATAGGAAAGGGATTTGCAACACTTAGAATTAGTAATTTGGAAACACTGTACCTTAATGTCTTGTGCAGCTTGGAGTTTCCCAGTTTTACCTAACTTTCCAATTGAATGCTTAAGTCAGGAACAATATGTTGAAACTTATTTGTACATATACATTTAAGTTATTCAAAATGTTTGTACTGATTTGCGCAATAGTAATATTAAGTAAAAGTGACAGGAACGGTGTATTTACATGTACATGTACATTGTTGTGTACACATACATGTAGGGTATATTCAAATGATGCAGAGCAAATGGGGCATACTAGCATTGAAAATATGAGAGGGATGTGATATCCCCCCCCCAAGAATCTCCCATGTATGTGGCAGAGGACACTACTAGAAACAAGGAATAGACGCATTGTACCTTGTCAGGACACTAATCTCTTGCATACATACATGTGCTTATAAAGTGTAGTTCCTCCAGTAATTTGAAAGGGTTGAAAAGGTTCCAAAATACTGCTTTAAGCATACATGTACATTTTACAAGGAAATATAACACAAAAGATATTTTGTCAGGATAAATGGAAATGTGCCTCTCAAAATCAAAACGACATACTGTAGATTTCTGTGAATGTTGTGAATAATTCAGTGATATTTATGTAAATTTTGTTGTTTATTCCAGTTGATAATGCAGGCTTGCCTTTATCAAAACATGTATCAGTGCCAGCAAGGCAACAAAGCAAGTTAGGATTTGATGAAATCTACATGATTAATCTGAAGAGACGTCCTGAGAGACGGCTGAGAATGGTAGCAGCTTTGAAAGACTTAGGAATAGCCTTCAAAATAGTGGATGCTGTTGATGGAAAGTGAGTATGTAATGCTTAACAGCACTTCTCTTAAATTTATGAATAATTTCCTTTAAAATGAATAAATGTTCAGCAATGAATCATCAAAATCTGTAAATCAAGCAGATATTATGCAATGCAATATACGTTACACCACATTTGGAATACTGTGTCCAAGCATGATGCCCGTCGATGGAAAAAAAATACAAAACTTCTAGAAAAGGTACAAAGATGAGCCACTAAAATGGTTCTGACTTTTAGAAAGTTGTCATTTTAGGAATGGCTGCAAGCTGTAGACTGGCACAGTGCTCTGCTGATGTCTTTTCAATAGGGGCCAGATTAGCATGTTGGGTACTGTGTGGTTCATTGCTACTGTTGTGGATCGCTTTTGTCCCCGGTGGTAATCCACTTGCACTGAATGCCCCAAACCGTGGTATACTGTTTCAAAACAAGGCTGGATTATCTCCACTACTGAGAGTAAAAAAGTGTTGGTATTTCCAAGCAGCCCGGTCTTTTGTTATGAGTATGGTCTTTTGTTACAAGGTCCAGTTCTCTTTGTCCGATTTTGGAGACCCGGCCACGTGTATAAAGAATATGTGTCCGAAACCGGAATCCCTGGCAGCAAGTGGTTAAAAAAGGGTTATTTTCTAGACCCCCAAATAAGCAGTATTTACGCAAAACATGCCACCACTCGGTACTTCCAAGATACTAGCAATGTCGTGCTGGTACAGGTGCCTGACTGATTTCAAGGGATTACACTGACAAAGCCTGGGGCCATGGGCTCCAGACTGAATGCCAGCCTGTGCGTATTTTGTATGGCAAGCATCCGGTCTAGGCAATGTTCACTAAGTCCAGACACTGACAATCAACGATATAATGTCCGGTAAGAAGCAGCTGCAGTGTTGCTGTTCCTTGCTGTACAGTGGTGTCCCTAGCTAGGCCCAAATCATTTTTCAGTTACCCAATCAGTGTTCAAAACCAGTGTTGCTTAATCTGTGTTGAAACTTCAAAATTATTCAGATAAATATTATTACTATTACCTCCATAATGCTTTCAGTGTTGTGAAATTGGTCCAAAAATAAAAAAAACGGTCGCATCTGGAAACTGGCACAAATTCAGTTCCAGTCTTCTGAAAGGTGGTGCACGTAAACAAATATCAGAAAATGCCACATTAATGTTGAATTTCCTTGAAATTGATAACGACTATTACCTAGACCAACAATGCTCAATTCAAGCTTGTAAGAAAATAGTTTTCTAGTTCTGAGGGCACATTAAGAGAGTTATTGTGCTCTTCAGAAATCTGGCCAATAAAGAATTTCATTGGTCATTTTAAGCCGGTAAATTAAAGAAAGATTTCTTTTAGGGCACTAAAGGCAACATGTAATGTAACGCAACATAGGGAACTACCAAGTCTGTTATTCTACAGATTAGGGGTCACTATGTATAGAGACTTTTTTGTGTGTACCTGTTCTGCCTGCCCAATGGAACTTGTCATTGAAATGGTCTTCAAACAATACATATTTACTTAGTAGGTTATTTTCATTCTTTAATTACTCTTGGAAATTGAAGAATGTTTTCTACACTTAAAAACTATGTCAGATTAAGACAGGAGAAAAACTGAACCCCTCAATGTATGGAAATACCCATGTACATCAAAAACACAAAGACTGAGCTTATATTTCTTCCAAACAGCATGCTTGCAGTGAATCAGAGTCACCAATGCTTGACAAGCTCTCCATCTTTGACATTCTCAGAGTGCTCCTTGTTCCTTCCAAAGTGACAAATTAGTGACAAATTACATTAGCACAAAATGAAACTCGGACTGTCATGCAAAAAATTGGAAACTCCCCAGGCCAAATGATGGAATTACTGCTGACTGCTGAGTTCCAAACTGAACAGGTAGCCTGGTTTTGTATTGTTTTTTCTGAATCAGAATAGGTAGACATACTGCTTGACATGTTCCTTGAGACTGGTTTTTAAATATCCCTGAGTGAACTCATTAGCCTCTAATGTATTTTCTATTTCATCTTTAATGAGTTTCTTTTTCTTGAAAGACTTTGTGGTATTTCCATTTATGAGACTATAAAATTCAAAGGTACAATTTTTTTTTTCATTGAAATCATGCTGTATTTATTTTCTCTTCACAGCAGCTTTAAGGAAGACACTACCATAATGTGGTGTCAAGTCTTCCAGTGCAAACATATATCAGATTAGTACAGGTAAATTATAGCACACATTTCTCATCAAGACAATTAAAAACAGAGTAACATTTTAAAAGTCATCGTCATAGTTAATTTAATATGAAATAACATGCAAGATGAAATGTTTTCATTGATGAAAATCAATTGAGAAAACAATATTTGAAAATTTCTTTTGTCATTGATACCTCATGTTTGCAACCTACATATGTACCAATGTCGGTACTGAATATTCTGATCATGCCAAACTAACCATCATGACCATACATTCATGTACTTTCATGTCATTATCTACATTTACATGTACATGAACTATCAAAAGAGGTCAGTTACTGGTTTAATTCCAAGAGGTTCCTCTGAAAGGTATGAAATGACAGAGGGCACCATCCAGGGGGTCCAATGAGGGCTATCCCCTTCCCAAAAAAGAAGTAACAAAATTTTTGGAAACAAGAAGATATATGCAATGTTTTTGTTGAATTCTTATTCCCTTCCTTCAACAAACAGGCAAAAGACCCATCATGTAGCCTTAACCCCTAAAGACCACACAAGGTTGAAACTTGAAAATGACTTTCCCACAAAATACTTGGTTCTGGATCAGTCCTCGGACATGGCACGGCTGAACTTAGCATGAGATAAAGGAAAGCAGCTATCCTTGGAAGAGCATTGGCCAGTCACCTCTGAATATATCATCAAGAAAGTCAATTCCTGAGGACAAATTCTTGTTGCTGAAGATCAGCGCATCACTGAGCTGAAAGAAAAGCACAGTTAAAAGAAGTTTAGACTATTGTGACTCCAAAACAAGGAATAGATTTTCCAGCTCTACAGGAGATATAGCCAGGCTGAGGCTGAGGCACAGATTAAGATAAAGTTCTGAACAGTTTGAAGTAACATTGAGACTGAGTTACGCAAAACAATTGTTTGGCTTCAGCCAATTGTACCTTGGGTATGGAGAATATCTTCAAGTTGGCAATGAATTGCAGAACCATAGTCAGGCATAGGGATGAAAAACTAAAATGAATTTAACCACTTACTGCTGGGGACTCTGGGATCGGAGATGAATGGTTTATATGGGTGGCCGGGATCTGCGAACTCGGACAAAGGA